CGCTCTTGTAGGGATGTATAACAGCTGACTCTCCCCTGCTGATGGACATACGGGCTACCTTCAGGATGTGGCTATCATTTATCAAACTGCAAGGCACATTATGTGCAAATGGTTTTATGGGCATATGCTTTCCTTTCTTTGGGGTGAAAACCTAGGTGTGAAATAGCTTGGCCTGATTTGCCTTGAAGTTATCAGTGCTTCATAGCTTTTCATATACCGATATATATGTTTAACGCTTTAAGAAATTGCCCAACTATTTTCCACAATGGCTGTATTGGTTCACATTCTCACCAGTGGTGTATAAAAGTTCTAGTTGCTCTGTATCCTCAGTGACCATTTCGTAGGGTCTGTCATTTTCATTGTAAACATTCTTTTTTTTAATTAAAAAAAATCATTTTATTACGGGCTAATACAACTCTTACCACAATCCATACACACATCAATTGTAAACATTCTTACAGGAGCTCTGGTGGTGTAGTCTGTCACCAACTTTGGACTGCTAACCCACATGGTTGGCATTTCTGACCCATCGCTCACTGTGCTGGAGAAAGATGATTGTCTGATCCTGTAAAGATTTACAGTCTCCAAACTATCCATTCTACTCTGGCCTGTAGGGTTGCTATGAGTTGGAATTGACTCAGTGCCAGTGGATAGAGGTATACCCCCCAAAACCAGTTGTGATACGAGGGGGATAGTGCATTTGGAGTTCGTTCCACCAGGGAAGACTGTTGATTAAGCTTTCTATTTAGAGGTTCTGAAAAGATAGCGTAACAGTGTGTGACAAAAAAAGGCCCGATTTTTGGCAGATGGGGACTGGTTTTGCCATCACAACAAGGCACCTGCTCATGAAGCCAGCTCAGTGCACCAGTTTTTGACAAAAAAACATCATGCCTCTCTTGCCCCACGCACCTTACTCTCACCCACCCTCACTCAGTGTGACTTCTTTTTGTTTCCGCGAATGAAGAGGAACATGAAAATGATTTGACAATGTAGAAGAGGCGAGAGAAAAATGAGGGAGGGGCTATCAGCCATCCCAACAGATGAGTTTGAAAAATGTTCCCAAGAATAGAATTGCAGATTTGACAAATGTATTAAGTGTAATGGAGGCTACTTTGAGATAGATGGTTGTTTGGTTAAAAAAAAAATTAAATACATAGCTTTGGGGGTGGGATTCTGGTTTTGTGGGGGAGGGTACCCTCTTGTATAATGGAATCGCATTGTAATTTTCACTGACCTTTCCTTTATGATCAATAATGTTGAGCATGTTTTTAAAATGTGATTTTTTTGTCACTTGTGTGGCCTCTTTGGTAAAGTATCTCCCCATTTTTTCACCTCATGACGTAAACGTTTTTTGAAAAGGAGAAACATACCCTGAGGCTTGCACACTCAGTACAGCTATGATGTCACTTCTCTCCAAATTGATCTCTTGATTCAACCCAATTCCAGTGGAAAATCCAACCGACTTTTAAAAGAAACTGATAGGATGATTATAACATTCTTATAGGGACACAAAGGACTCAAAGATATGTTCATTCGAAGCCTTGGGTACGCCTCTTTTCAAATTACAGGGAGCCTTTCCAGTCCATTGCCCCTTAGATGACACTCCCCTGACCTCTGCTTTCCACTGTAGGGAGACTGGACCTAGGCCGGGGACTCTGCTTGTCAGCTCAGCACTCTGCTTCTTGTACGTGTTCTAGAGGCCGTTCGAGTTTCTATTGTTTAAAGTCTCTGCTTCATTTTTCTGATACCAGCTAAAATGTATAGACAGACAGACACCGAGATAAAGATGCTCAGTGGGATGTGCCTTCCAAGTGAATGTTTGCTGCAAACCTTTGGGGCAGGTGAAGTAGCATGCAATTGACTACTTTATCACTTTGATTTGCTTCTCACAGCCTGTCTATCTTAGTTTCCTCGGCACAGGTGAGGGACTTTATGGAAAATAAATAAAGTGTTATTTTCTCACACTTCTCAAGGTTAAAACTCCAAATAGGGGTCTAGACTGTGTGGATTTCTTCCGTATGCCATTCTCTCCTTGTCTGGTGTCTGGAAGTCCTTGGCATTCGTTTGCTTGCAGAGGTTTCTTCACATAGCATGTTTTTCTTCGTGTGTGTGTGTGTGTGTGTGAGAGAGAGAGAGAGAGAGAGAGAAGCCGGTTCTTAAAAGAGGTCACCCCAAAGGGATTATTCGGCTTGGGACCCACTGTTCTATGGAATTACTTCATTAATGTAGTAAAGAAATCCAGGTTCTCCACAGTGTCATATTGACAGTGATGGGGCTTAGAATCTCAACAAAGCTTTTTTTTTTTTT